TAAATTCTGGAAAATAATATTCAACTCCAGACTTGTCCCTACCATTAAGCTGGCCATTTTCTTAGATGGCCCCTTTTTAACTCTTATTTGTGTGTGTCTGACTTTAGCTTTCCTGATATAGCACTCCCTTCAGAACTTCTTGGAGAGCTGCTATGAACAGCTAAATCCAGTTAGACCCCACAGAAAAGGAAAAGAGCTACAGGCCTGAAGGACAATCTGAGTGGACCTCAGGGTTAAAAAAATGAGAAACATCACTACCCAAAGCTTTTTATTATTCGAGACTAAGGGGGTAGAGGTGGTTTGGGAAGAATGGGAAAAAGAGACAGAGTCAAATAGAATGTAATCTCTACCAGCAAACATGTTTCTTTTGTTTACCTCTGTATAATTCTGTGCCTGGTATTCCTAGTTCACCATCGTTAATCATAAATATGGGATGAATAACTAATTGGAAAAAAAAAGAAATGGTGGTGGATAGTCTTCATCTAGTACCAATTGTGAATTGTTCTGTATGCACAATATTGGTCTCACTCCATGAAGCATACCATTCATTCAGTCATTTATTCCATAAACATTAATTGAGCATTTTCTAGGTTCCAGGTTCAGGATGCTAGACCTTAAGGAATAACTAATAACTAGTTTTGCTGCCCTGAATGTGTTTAGAGACTAGTAGGGGAAGAAGAAATCTGTTTAAAAATTTTAAAAGTTCAATACAAATTTTAGGCGCCATGAAAACTACCCCAATATTCACTCTCACCGCATACCATCCCAAGCTCCAAGGGGTGGTGGGTCAGCTGGGTTTGCTGGCTGCCCAACTTCCCAGAGGAAGTAGAGAAACCTTCCGACATGATAAAAGTAGTTAATGAGGTAGCTTTTCTATGGTTCGGTTTTTACAATAGGCTGTGTAAAGCAGAAATTATTTTAAATAGGGGTTCTCGCATGGTTTATAATGCACACCTTGCTCTTTTCTCCTCCTTCCTCCTTTTTCTCTTCACAAATCTTTACTTTCACATCACTGACGGGACGTGACACAGAACCAGGCGCCGTGAGCGAATTCTGAAATAAGACAAATTTCTGCCTTCTTGCAGTTCCCATTGTAAGAAAGTTTAGTCAGGGACGATAATTTAAAGTAGCCGTACTGAACACCAGCACAGACGCTGGCCTTACGCCCACCTGGATGCCGCTTCGCAGCTCCCTACCCGGCCGCAGACTGTACTCCAAGGCGGAAGGCGGAACTGTCCAGGATTTTCTGCAGAGAGCCAATGACCATGCTTGGAGGCGGGCTTTTAAAAATGATTGGCCTAGGAAATAACCAATCAGTATCGAACCTGGCTGACCCTGAAGGAACGGACGCTTGAGCTGAGGCATGCTGTTGGTAGGAACGGGAGCTGAGGAAAGGCATGTGAAAGCTGCAGTTATGGACCAGTAGGAACGTAGATCTGCTTTTTAATCGGTACAGCCATACTGGTTCATAAGGTTGGAAATCAATACAAATAGATATCGTCAACCTAGATCACCACTTCTTTTTGAGAAATGTGTATTTTCGTTTCCATAATCAGGTAATTCAATCAGGAGCTGCCATTTACTTGCAAACCTCTTTTAAGTACCCTGTCTGGAGAAGAATGCGGGTCACAGGTAGTTGGGACGGTTAATTACTTTATCTTCATTACCTAACTCAGTATCTGGCATATAATTAGGCACCAGATCATTTGTTGAGGATGAATGGACACAGCAGCTAAGTATTGCTCCTTTTGATCCCACATGTAAAAAGCTTTACACTCTTCTAACTAGTCTGTAAATGGAAAGTCTTACCTGTTTTAGCAGCTTAATGTAAGTTGCTTTAGATCTGTGCATAGTTCCACTGATAAGTTTCAAGAATTTGCTGGCAGCCATGACAATGTAGTCAAAGCTCATGTTTACTTTTCTCCTTGTTCCTAGTACAAAGGTTAAAACCCCCAAGGTTCTTGATTTTACCCATTTCACAGATTTGTTGTGAGGTTTCAGGCAGATAAAAGATATCCTTAAACTTTAAAAATTCTTTTTTCATTCAATGTAAAATAGTTGAGGACCGTCCACCTACTGATCACAGTGTTTAGCCATTACTACATGGTCCTGTATTGCTCAAAGGACCAAAGGGCAGGAGCTCAAAGGCAGCTCATATCACCTAGATATGAATGATATGCTTGACCAAGTCAAGCCAAAGGACTCAGAATCCAGAGTTTGTAAGATCTGAGTATTGGGCAGTTTCAAACCCAGAAACTAGCTTTCTTTCAATGGCTGCCAAGCAACTTAAAAAGACTGTTGTTCTCTCCCTGGGATAATTTTAGTGTTTTCTGATGGGTGCCAGAATCATCTAGTGCATGTAAAGGGGAAAAACGTAAGAAGTGAGTGTGTGAATATTGTAATTCCAAGAAAGGATTGGTGAGGGTGTCTCTACATTCCTGTTATTTATTTACTTATTTATTTATTTGGTTGGTTGGTTGGTTATAAGTAAAAGTAACCTACATAAAATAGCCTTAGAACAAAAGATAGATTTAAAATGAAGGAATAACAGTGTCTAGGGGCCAGCAGTTAGCCATTTATGCCGCTGGACTCCCATGTAGGCGACTGCAGTTCGCGTCCCGGACCAGGTGGCTTAAAACTCACGCCAGGCGCGTGTGCATGCGTGCCCAAGATCCTGAGAGGAAAATGGAGAAGAAGGGATTTTGGCGTGGCCATCCCCCCTGGGGGGTGATTCTTGCTTTTTGTCTCTCTGTCTCTGTCTGTCTGGCGAGCGCACGCACCCTATAGCAAAAACCTCTCAAAAAAACCAGTGTCTATATGTGCAACTGAGTTTGAGTCCCAGCCCTACCAGTTTGAAAAACACCCTGAGCATGAGTGTGCGAGTCCAGGATGGAGAATTGGAGAAAAAAAAAGATTGTGATGTGGTTGCCCTGTTGGGGGGTACTTTTTATCTCATGTGTGTACACATGCCCTCTAGGATTAAAAATAAATAACAAAAAAAAAGAGGGCCCCACAGTGCAGTTTGCAGAGGACATTGTAATTTACGTGGCCCAATTTGGTTCAAATTCCAGCCCTTCTGGATGGAAAACAGTCTAGGCATCTGTGTATGTGCCCAGGATCCTAATAGGGTGAATAATTAGAGAGAAAAAGGATTACAGCATGACCAGGCCCTGCTGAGGGAGAGGAGGTTCAATCTTTCTCTTTCTCACTCTTATGTACTTGTCTTCTGGCATAAATACATGCACACACAAACCAAAAAAAAAAAAAGAAAAAGAAAAGAAACACTGGTGTCTGATGGAACCTGAAGGAAGAAATGTATATGGTTTTGAGGAAATCCTAGCGTCAGTCCTGGAAAGAAGCTGGGACTCTTGCCCTAAATCTTCTTCTCTGTATAGGTCTACTACATTCTTCTCTCTCAGGTTCAGAGCCATGATCAGAGTCCTTAGTTAAAATATTTGTATCATTAATTCTTCATTATGATTTTGTTCCAGCAGAAGCTGATTACCATCATCTGAGACTGTGATAGAAGGCATATCCTTGTTGAGTGGGAGGAAAGAAAGTTATGGGCTGTTATGAATGTAAGATATTATGATTCTGGAAAAAAGCAGTTAGCATAATGGCTATGTCGCTGGACTCCTACGTAGTCGACTGCGGTTCACGTCCCGGACCCGGTGGATTAAAACTCACACCAGGTGTGTGTGTGTACGTGCCCAAGATCCTGAGAGGAGAATGGAGGAGAAGGGATTGCAGCGTGACCATCCCCCCTGGGGGGTGATTTCTCGCTTTCTGTCTCTATGTCTCTCTCTGTCTCTCTGGCGAGTGCACGCGCCCTATAGCGAAAAACCTCTCCAAAAAAAAAAATATTATGATTCTACCAACTTTGATTCTTATATCACAAGAATTGTCTTCCTTTGGACTTTCCCATTGAATATGTTAATAGCATCTTTGGGGTTTTTGTTTGTTTGTTTGTTTGTTTGTCTTATCTATTCCAGTCCTTCATCTTACATGTAAAATGAATCATTGGGAATTATTAAGTTCTTCCCCAAGGCCTCTCTTGAAATAATACTAATTTTCTTTAACTTTTTAAAAAGCTAGATTAAAGAAAAAAAGAAATAATACTAATTTTCTCCTAACATCTGAAGCACAATAAAAAAGGTAACACAAATATGAACTCTTTAACCTATGGGTAAAAGTTAATAGAGGATCACATCAGAATATAGAGTTGTACCTGAGTTCAAATCCTATTTTCATCACTGCTAGCAGTGTGACCATAGAAAGATTATTCTTTGAAGATTTCTCCCTATTATACAAAGTGAGGACCTAATACTAAACCTTACTGAGATGTTTGATTAAATTAAAATTAAGTACTTAGCAGGGTTTCTATTAATGCAAGTATTAACTAAGCATTTAGTAAGAGTAGTCATTTTCATTTAAGTAATATTAAAAACATTTGTATAACTTTTTATGTAATGCCTGCACCTACATTTACTCATCTAATAGTAACAAAAACACTAAGAGGTCAATAATATCCCTGTCCTCTGGATGGGAACACCAAAGAACAGAGAGATGTAAACTCTTCAGTAAATGCAGTTGTCTAGAGTTTACAACAACAGGGAGTGATTACCCAGTTATGGGAAGTTCTAGTAAAGCTACGGTTTAACCTATCAAGATACATGTGGCAAAGATCCCAGGTTTTGGTAGGCTGGCTTACCTAGATGATCACTGAGGTACTGCACTTGTTTGTCTATTAATACACACAACCAATATTTATTGACCTCTTACCAGAAACTGTTCAAGGATCTGGAGATACAGCATACACAAATAAGGCAAAAAAAAAGGACAAAAATCTCTACCTAAAAATATACAAAATATTATATATAACATAAAAAGCATTAAGATTAAATATGAAAATGCATAGCTTGATTTTTTTCACATCTTTCATTTAAGTGTTCACTCATCAATGCCTATCTCCCTTCCTAAACATCTCTTAACCTTAAAAGTATGAGGAACTAGAAAATTCTCGCTTCGGGTGCCACACCCCCTCAAGAGGCCAACCTTAGTCTTAACTCAAAATCTAGAAAAGCCAGCGGGAACTCAGTGATTTACGACGATGAACGAAGAGATCGCGGAACCAGTATTCCGGTAGTCGTGGTTCTCGGAGGGGAGCCAATTCTGCGGACCGGTAGTGGAAAACCCTAGAGCTATTTCCGGCCACCTCAGCGGGAAGCGGAGACGCAAGCAGCTGGATCTTGGGGAACTGGGATAGAGATATAACTGTTGTCGCCGCGGAGGAAGGGAGAACGAAGCCTCCGGCGGTGCAGGCCAACATCGGATATCAGTAGCCTGTGAAGATGGTGTTGCTAACGATGATCGCCCGAGTGGCGGACGGGCTCCCGCTAGCTGCCTCCATGCAGGAGGACGAACAGGTGAGTTACTACTAGACCCCCGCGACCCCAAATCCCTACCCGTGCGCTTTGCTCTCAACACCGGATTTCATTTTAGGACGCGGGAGACCCTTGCGACTTCTCCCACATTCCCAATACCCCACAAGTGCTTTAAAAAAAATCTTTTTATGTTGAGAAGAAATCTTTCCTGAAAGCAGAGGTAGATTTTTGTGTTACCTGATTCTCTCTCTTTTAATCCCTGGAGACGGGATAGGTTCGGCTGATTGTGATCACTCAGTGTTCTTTGACTTTAAGGAGTTTGTTAAAATTCCATTTGTTAAATTTGCTGCTACTGCTAAGGTTGTTGACTGACAAATCCTCAAGAAAATCAGATCCTAAGTTCTGCAACTCCTCTTACGTAGTACCTGATCCTTTGACCTAGCTTGCTGACATCTTTTGAAAGTGGGTAAGATAATATTGCTACATGTAAGTATCTGTTAGAGTTCAGTTCAGTACTTTATTGCTGGGTTATGTACAACTTTCACCCATCCCCTCCATAACGCCTTATCAAATTCAAATCGTAGGGACCAGCAGTTAGCGTAATGACTATGTCGCTGAACTCCCATGTAGCCAACCGCGGTTCGGGTCCGATTGCGGAGTGACCATCCCTCCTGGGGGGTGACTTCTCGCTTTCTGTCTCTGTGTCTCTCTCTGTCATTCTGGGGAGTGCACGCACCCATAGCAAAAAAAAAAAAAAACCTCTCAAAAAAAAAATCAAATTGTAATGCATTGTACCTTATTTTATTATTTCTCTTTGTCTTCAGTAAATTGCATTTCCTAACAGGCAAAATACAGGTTTTAATCATCTTTGTGCCATTTATAGCTTTTGCAACACAGCTTTATGCCTGTAAATGCCCAAAAATGTACTAATGTCTGATATCAACTCCAGATATTTTGAAAGGAAGCTGTTTCATTATTTTAGGATTACAAGGGAAATTTCTGGTGTGAGGCAAGTTTCTGGAGCAAGCTTGAGAATTCCCTCAAGATCAGAGGCTGAGAACAGAATTTATCATTTATTTTAAATGATCAATTTTATTTTATTTTTCCACATAGCCTAAGTAGTTTACTAAAACTTGAAGGCTTATGGGACCAGCAGTTGGTGTAATGGCTATGTCACTGGACTCCCATGTAGTTGACTGTGGTTCGAGTCCCAGACCCAGTGGCTGAAACTCACTCCAGGCATACATGGCCTGTGTCGTCGTGTCCC